TGACATTTGAAAAATGACTGACCAAGAATCTGTAGTTATAAATATTGACTATTTTTATTGTTCCAATTGATTACTGAAAGTTATAAGTAATGGTTGGTCTGTTTGAAACAACAGGTTTGGGATATTTGTAATGCTCTAACTGAAGGTTGAGAAAAATTATAGGGCAGTTTGATTTTTAGAGTTGGCTTTGCAGAGAAAAAATAATAGTAATGGGCTGATTACCTAGAGAAGATGTAATGATTTATTATTGTTAGATAAAAAATGGATTTACACAGAGTAAGGTGAAAGCATATCGGCACTGTAAAGCTAAGAAAAATATAAAATACCATGCTTAAGTTTGCAAATATATGGGATTGTGAAAGCTAATATTGGTAACAAATGTGCAGGAATATCTTAAAGGGACCAAACTGTTATTATACAAGAAATATGTGCCCAAATTAAAATTGTTAAACTGTTGAAACACCTGCTTCTTTCCCTTCCTATTTTTAGGATTGTAAAACTGATTAATAATAGTGTAGTGTAGATAAAATGAAATCTAGCAGATAGGATATATTAAAAATGAGTTCATTTTTTATATTGGGAATATATATATTCATTATATATATTGGGAATAGAATTTTGATTAATGATATTTGTTGTGGAATATAAAGTTAAACAAGGGGGGAAAGGGAACTATTTATCTAAAGATGTTGTGAGCGAGACAATGTTTTGATATTTTAAAAATGAATTGCTGTTTTGTGTGTGTGTGTGTGTGTGTGTAATTCTTAAAAAACTAATAAACCTTGCCCATTTGGGTAAGCAGAAAAAAAAGAATCATGAAAGAAAGGATTAAGAAGCCTCTCCTGTCCCCTCTTTTTCTCTGTTCAGACTTGCAGTCTGCCAAGGCAGCTTTGGGGGGGGGGGGGTCAAAAAAAGGAAAGTCACCCAAAAGATTGTGAATCACATGAGATCAGATGGTGATTATGCATCTGCCTGCACTGATAAAAAAGTAAATTTTAAGCATGTACAGAAAGCCATCTCGAGGGCCAAGCAGGTACAGGGTGCATGGATCGAAGGGCAACAAGTGTCCATCATTTCTAAGCCTCTGTCACTGGCAGCTGGAACTCGGAGGAAGACAAGCCCCAGTGGTGTTGCCAGAGCTGCTTGGAAGTGGACACTGTGGTGGTGGGCAGGTTCAGAACAGGAGGATGAAGACAGGTGATTTCTGTTGCCTCCACCAACACTGCTGTCCTCTTCAGATTGCCACACTCAAAATAGCTGTTTGTGTTGCTTGTGCAGTGAACCAGCCTAATTCAGACTGAGGCTACCCCAACAGGGGAGAAGAAGTTTAGCCACTTAGAGCAGGTCTTCTGGAAAGGCAGCATCTCTATGTATAACTAGGAATAAGGCCCGTTGTGGAAATAAATACAATGAGCTCTAGAAAGAGGCTCTGGGAGAGTGCCACGGCCTTGGGCACTCAACGTCAATTTGCTGTGGTGACCTCCTCAAACCCCAACCTCTCCAGGCTCCACTCCTGAAATCCCCAGGAATTTTCCAACCTGGAGTTGGCAACCCCATCCCCTTCCCAGCTAACTATCAACCTACCATTATCTGCCCCTCTGACTGCAGCTGACTTCTGTCCTCCCTCCTGGAGATCAGTTGTATTTATGAGTGATCTCCACTCCTCACCTGGAGATTGGCAACAGTGGTTCCCCAGGAGGGAATGGCTGGTTTGGAGGCTGGAGTCTATGGCATTGTACCTGTCTGAGGTCCATGCCTTCTCAAACCTCACCCTCTTCAGGCTCCACCCCTCAAATCTGCATGAATTTCCCAACCTGAAGTTGGCAACCCTATCTCCTTCCCAGCCAAGCATCACCCTGCCATTATCTGCCCCTCTGGTTTCAGCTTTCCATCTCCTCCCCCCTCCCTCCTGGAGATCAGTTGTAATTCTGAGTGATCTCCACCCCTCACCTGGAGATTGGCAACAGTGGTTCCCCAGGAGGGAATGGCTGGTTGGGAAGGTGGATTCTATGGCATTGTACCTGTCTGAGCCCCCACCCCTCCTCAAACCTCACCCTCTCCAGGTTCCATCCCTCAAATCTGCATGAATTTCCCAACCTGGAGTTGGCAACCCTATCTCCCTTCCAGCCAAGCATCAACCTACCTTTATTTCCCCCTCACTCTTCAGCTTTCCATCTCCCCCCCCCCCGCAGCCTCTACCCAAGAGGAAAAGTAGTATTTCTCTGCAATGGAGACCAAAGCAGCTTACATCATTATCCTCTCCCCCTTTTGACTTGCACAACAACCCTGTGAGGTAGGTTAGGCTGAAAGTCTGTGACTGGTCCAAAATCACCCACTCAGCTTCTACAGCAAGAACCTGGATCTAGCAGACCCTGCTCTGAAGCACTGACTGCTACGCCTAGGGCAGCCAACCTCCAGGTGGAGCCTGAAGATCACCAGGTATCACAAATGAACTCCAGACAGTAGACCTCTCCCCTCTGGAGGAAATAACTGCTTTGGAAGGTGGGCTTTATGGCATTCTGTTCAGCTGAGACCTATCCTCTCCCCAAACCCTGGCTTCCATAGACTCTACCAGAAAATCTCCAGGAATCTCCCTACCTGGAGCTAGCAACCCTAGTCAGGACTGGCCGCAATGAGTTCCTCACAAAGGCCTGTAAAGGGTTTCCTTCCTTTGTCTGAACCAAGCTTGGTTGCCTACTGTGGTGAAACAGGCTCCAGTTTACAACTCAGCTGGATGGGCTGGAGTCTATATTGATGCTGCCCTGCCCCTTGGGACAGTCCCTCTTTTCCCACACTTTTTGGCCTTGGAGCAGCTGAGAACTGTAGTTCAGCAGATGAGGAACCCCCATTCAGCCCAGCCTTGGTGGCAGTGGACACTGGGATCTGCTTGGGATCTGGCCACTACAATGTACACTGGGAGCTTTTGGGGGCTTGGAGTGGCCCCCAGACACTGCTGTGCAGGCCCATATCTACAGCTGAGCATCTCAGGGCCTGCCCCCCCTACTTATCACCAAGGCCCAGGACTTCCCATCCAGCTCAGCCCCCCAAAAAAATCCTTATTTTTTGTGCCACGGTGCATGGCTGCATGACACATGCCATCACCCTCACTGAGCCTGCCTACTGGAGCCAAACCTGCCTCCTGGAGTCCCACAACCTTGCCGGCCAGCTCTGCCCTCCATTCCCAAGTTGTCAGACAGGACGCCACCAGATGGGGTGCGAGAAAGAAGCAAATGGGCAGCAATGGCATCTATCACCTGTTATGCCAACTTCTCCAGGAAATTCCTGGAGACCCAATCCAAGTTATCTACCAAGGAAAATTGGGTGTTTGTGGCTGTGCGTAAGTTCTATACCAGTCTATACAGAGGTCGGATGGCGAATGAGACGCTCGGCTATATCCCAGGAAGTGAGACAACACGCTAGTCCTTAAATAAATGTTGTCTTTACTAAAGGTTTTTCATCAGGCATACAAAATCGGAATCATACAAATTCATACAAGCTCCTTAGTTACAATAGTACATTAGAACAATTACAGCATAGAAAATAACAAAAGCATCAAAATGGGGAAGACACAATGGGGCACGGCTATACTCATCTGAGGTCCAGCTGAGGAAGAACTCTCCTCCTTGGAACGCTGGGCAGCCGAAATGCAGCAGCTTGTGAACTCCAAGGCACACAGGTAGGACCAGCCAAACCACGTGTGAGCTCTCTGGGTCGCGACTCCGGAGAACTTAAGTAGTAGAGTCACTTGTAGCACCTTAGTGCACTGCTATGGGAAGGGTGGGTTAACCAGAGAGACAAAGGAGAGTTTCTCCTTAAATAAACTCTTTTTGGGGCATGTGCTATCCAGCCATAAACTATCAAACCCGTCCTCTAAACTATCACTACTGGATGAAGAGGGGGTGACGAGGGGATGACGCTCTCCTGAGGGGTGGTGGCAATATGCAGATCCTACTCCTACATCAAAGGTGCCTTTTGGCAAGGTGTGAATCTTCCGTTCCCATGGACACCCTCTTGATTTGCAGATCTGGTTCCTGCTCCAAAGCCATAAACGCTATTGTCTTTAGATCTCCAAACCAGATTAAGGGAGTAGGGTCACTTGCTCTTTCCATTCCAAGAATGCCGGGGTTCGCTGGGGATTTTCCACAGCTCTCCAAGTGGGTGCAATGGCGCGGTGTCTTCTCCATCCCAAAGAGTCATGGGATACATTCCAGGGACGCACATGGTCCGTATGTGCAACGGCAGGCCCAGGCCAGCCTATTTCTAGGCAAGCATGAGATGCAGAACAAAGCAACACACAACATACAGCAATCCCTGAATACACAATGCATAGGTATTCATGCTAGAGACACACATGAGCAGCATCACCACTATACAGAAATACAAACATAAGCTCATATCGTTACACACCCCTGTCTCCTAGTTTTCATCCGTGTTGTGAATTGAGGTGTGCTGATGGCTGCAGTGGCGGCACTCCCCACCTACCCCATGCCCCTAACTTTTTAAAATGCCCCAACTTTTAAAAATCCTGGCTAAAAATGCCCCTGCTGCCATGGTGATGCCCCAAGGTGAGTTCTAGGGCCTGGATGTGCTGGCTCAGTGGTGGAGGGGAGAGTAGTAGAGTGCCAAGGGTGGGAGGTAGGTGGGTAGAGAGCAACGGTTGGGGGTGAGTGAATGCCAAGGGGGAGGGGGAGGCGAGAAGAAAGCAAGGGTTTGAGGTGAGTGAATGCCAAGGGTGGGGGGGTAGATAGGGAGATCAGCAAGAGTGGTGGGTGAGTGGAGGGCCAAGGGTGGGGGGCAGGTGGGAGTGCAGCAAGGGTGGGGTAGACTGATGGAGAAAATGGGGGGGCAAAAGAGATGAGGGGTAGATTGGCAGATGAGGGGAATGGGAGAAAGGAGTGAAAGAGGGGGCAGGTTGACAGATAAAGGGAATGGGAGAAAGGGGGAAAGGGGGGAAATGAGGGGTAGGTTATCACAGAAAGGGGTAGATTGACCAAGAAGGGATGGGGGTAAAAGAGATGAAGGTAAGTAGAAAGATAAGGGAAAGGGTAGAAAGGAGGGGAAGATTGATAGAGAAAGAGGAAGATGGAAGGAAACAAAGAGGGGAAAATTTCTTGCGGGTCTCCACTTGTATGTTCTAAGTGTTGGAAAAGTGACAGCCTGCTAAACACCTAGTTAATGCAAATACTACTGAAATAGTAGTTTAGTCCACTTGTACCATAGGGGCAGCTGTGGTTCACAGTTTATTGTTTTCTCTTGCAGTTTAGCCTGCCTCTTGTTGTTTCTCTCTTTGCTGTGTGTTGGTATCTGTTAGTGCTCTGAAGGCCTCTCTGTTGTATTAGTTACCTGCGGTCAGTTATCATCTTTTTTGCAAATCCTGTTGCAGTAAAAGTTGTTGAAAGCAAACTCCAAAGTCTGGACTGGATTATTTCTCAAACTCTGCCAACACTAAATAAATAAATAGCTCTCCCATGCTCCACATAATTTTGCTAGCTAAAATTATCCCTGCCTTTAAAGGAAAACTGGTGAGCATCTATTGTCCGGAAACAAACAGTGTGTGAGAGGGTAGTTTTGATCAGTACAACTGATGGGGGGAAAGGTTAAAAGCCCTCTTGTCTTCCCATGAATTCCCAGTCTGAATCAGTATACAGCACAAGTGAAATTCTCTATTTAAAATTGGTGGGAAGATCAAGTCCTCGATATCCCAAGATCCTACCTGTTTTGACTCTGTGTTGCAAAGCCCTTAAGTTTATTCACTGGTGTGAATAATGGTCATGGATTTACTCTAGGGTATGCACTATTTATTTTAATAGTGTTTCTATAGGAGAGCATCCAATAATTATGTGCACTTCTGGAACATCATACTGCCTGCTGCATAAATAGACTACCCCTTTTCAAATCTGTGGCTCGTGAGATATGGAATTTCATTTATGATAAATTTCTATATTGGCATGAAATAGGTAATAAAATTGTGAAACCCTGCGGCGAAGAACTCTCCCAAACAAAAGTGTTCTAATAGGTACAAAATCTTAATCTAAATGTTTTTCTCCCTTAGGAGGTGTTGTATGTCCATCTCGATATCAGATTCACACTGAAGTATTTGGACAAAATGAGATGCTTACGAAAGCGATCTGCTGTATCGTTCCTAGGAGTGCTTGTCGTTTGCTTGTTGTTCATGAACGTATACATCGAAGACAGCTATGTCTTGGTAAGTTGCCATTAAAAAGGATAGCACAACAGACAGTGAAATCTGAGGTGCTTCTGGAGGCACATTGCTTATATCTGGTAATTCACCAAGGTTTTTAACATTACCTCTGATTGCTCCAAAGGAAGAACTATATTGTTTCTTTATTTCTTTTGTATTCTGCACTCAGAATAGATTCAGATGGCTAGCCATCTTGGTCTGAAGCAATAGAACAAAGTTTGAGTCCGGTGGCACCTTTAAGACCAGCACATGAAAGCTTATACCCAGAATTAAACTTTGTTGGTCTTAAAGGTGCCACTGGACTAAAACTTTGCACTCAGGATAGTGTACACAGTCTTCCCTTCTTCCATTTTATGGCCACTACAATCCTATGAAATAGTTCAGGTTGAGAAAGGCAGAAAGGCCAAGGTCACCCACTGAGTTTCATGGCAAGTGGAGATATGATCATGGATCTTTATTATTTTATTTTTTTATTGTTAAATTTATACCCCGCCCTCCCCAGATGGGCACATATGCCAAAATTCAACAGGTAAAAACAGAATAAAACAAGCAATAAAACGATCATTCATATAAAATACAAGTGCTCTAGATGTCACAGATAACAGATGGGGTCACACAAAACAAAGTGGTCCCAGAGCGACATGATAAACTCCAGATGGTACAACGATCCGTCCTTCCTCCCAGTGCTGTCTCGTTCCCCGATGACACCCACTCCATTTAGTGGTGGTGGTACGGTGATGGTATAGTGATGGTGGCGGCTCCTACTCAAAAGCCTGGTGGAAGAACTGTGCCAAGTCCCGCAGGGCCCGGATCTCCTCCGGGAGCTCATTCCACTAGGTAGGAGCTGCCACCAAAAATTCCCTGGCCCTGGTGACAGCAAATTTAATATCTTTGGGACCTGGGGTTACCAATCGACCGTAGTGCCCTTGGGGGAACATATGGGGAAAGGCAGTCCCTCAGGTATGCTGGACCCTGGCCATATAGGGCTTTAAAGGTAAGAACCAGCACTTTGAAACAAATCCGGTATGCTATTGGCAGCCAGTGCAGTGTTTTCAGGACAGGCCTGATATGGTCCCGCGTAGGGAGACCCATTAGCAGCCTGGCCGCCACATTCTGCACTAGCTGCAGCTTCCGGACTTGCGACAAAGGCAGCCCCATGTAGAGAGTGTTACAGTAGTCCAACCTCGAGGTGACCGTTGCATAGATCACTGTGGCCGGGTCATCACAGTCAAGGAAGGGGACCAACTGCCAAGCCAGCCGAAGATGGTAAAAGGCCGACTTGGCAGTGGCTGCTACCTGGGCCTCCATCGTTAAAGCGGAGTCCAGGAGCACTCCCAAACTCCTAACCTCCGACTCTGGCACCAGAGGCGCCCCATTGAAGGTTGGAAGCCCCAACCCCGAACCAACCCGACTCAGGCCCAGGACCTCCATCTTCACCGGGTTTAGCTTCAGCTGACTCAGCCTGAGCCAACCAGCCATGGCTTGTAACGCCCGGTAGAGGTCTTCTGGACTGGAGTCTGACTGACCGCCCAACATCAGATAGAGCTGGGTGTCATCTGCATATTGATGACACCCAAGCCCAAACCTCCGGGCAATCTGGGCAAGGGGGCACATATAGATGTTAAATAACATCGGGGACAGCACTTCCCCTGAGGCACCCCACACTCAAGTGGGTGCCTCCGGGACTGCTGTTCCCTGACTGCCACCCTTTGTCCCCAACCTTCGAGAAAAGAGGCAAGCCATTGGAGGGCCAGCCCCTTAATCCCCGCGTCGGTGAGGCGGTGGGTCAGCAACTGGTGGTTGACCATATCAAATACGGCCAAGAGATCTAACAGCAACAGTGCCACCACACTGCCTTGATCCAGGTGCCTTCGGAGGTCATCAGTAAGGGCCACCAGCACAGTCTCCATCCCATGTCCTGAGCAAAAACTGGACTGGAAAGGATCTAGGATGGAAGTGTCATCCAGAAAGCTCTGCAGCTGTAATGCCACCGCCCTCTCAATCAATTTGCCCTTACTGAAGCCGGTAGTTAGCCAATTCTGCCGGGTCCAGAGAAGGTTTTTTCAAGAGAGGACAGATCATCGCATCCTTGAGTGCCCCCGGGAACCGTCCCTCCGAGAGGGACTTGTTGATAATCTCCCTCAAGGCACCGCTTTAACCTTTCCTCAACCTTTGGTCTGGCACATCATCAGAGGAGAGAGCTCTCATCTCCTGGGTGTGTGCCTGCGGTCCAGATTGATGGCGACACCTGGTCCCTGTATATTCCATTTCCCTTAGCACACTAATTGCACTGTCCAGTTAATCACTTATGAACCATAAGTCCATAAGAGCGCTATAAGCACCTTGTAGGGCAACAACATCTCTCTCTCACTCCCCATTCTTGCCATATTTATTCATATGTGATTTATCTTCATATGGAACAATCAAGAAGTTTGATTTCCCATTAAGAAAGACCCAGAACCTTCTTGGATACTCTGGATGAACTCTTGTAGGTAGCTAGTTGTTTGTTGTTGTTTTTAAGTCTCGATGCAACAGTATTTGTAGAGACTGTCAGGGGTCATTTCGGGGGGGGGACGCGAGGGGACGCCGTCCCCCCGGGTGAAGTGCGAGGGGGCGGGGCACACGATGAAGCCCCGCCCCCTGCTTCCGGACGATGCTGCATCGTCTCAATCAGGCCCGAACTTTCTATGGAAGACCTTCCCCGTGCTCGCCTTCAGTTCCTTCCTTCCACCAGTCTCCCTCCCCCCCGCCGCGGTCCCCGGCCTGGAGGAGCCGGAGGTGCCTGCCCGGCTGCTTTCGAAAGGCAAGGACGAGGCTTTGGGACAGGACAGGGGAGGAGTTGGCGCGGGAGAAAGGGTGTTTTTAGGGGCCCCTCTTCAATCTTCGGCTCCCCCTCCCTCCCCCCTGTTGCTGCCCTCAGCCCAACACCTGGCTAGAGGAGGGCAGCAGTACACCTGCACGCGAGGAGGGTTTCCAGCCGAGCCCTGCAGCCGCCGCACGCGCCATGTAGCCAGGGCTTCCAAGCACCTCCGCTCAGAGATGGACTGGGGCAGCTGCTGAAGCGGCTGTGCTGCGCCTGCCCACCTGCCCAGGTCCGGAGTAGCCCGGCTCACTCCCCCTTCCCATCCCTCCCCGCCCCGCTTTTGCTTGTTTGCAATGGAGGGAGCTAGGCTGGGCACGGCTCGGCAGCCCGGGGCGCCCGCAGACAGCAGGTAGGCAGGAGATGAGTGGCCAGGGAGCGTGCAGGCGCGCTGGAGGAGCAGCCAGCCAGCGAGCCCTGCGCTAGCTGTGGCGGCAGGAGCAACGCTACCACCTAGGCTGCAGTAAGCCCAGCGAGAAGCCCGGAGCTGAACTCCCGGGACTCGCTGCACTCGAGGGTGGCTGCAAGGGGGAGGCGGGCCTCCTCGCTCCGAGACTGGGTGAGAGAAACTTTCCTTATTTGCGCCTTTCTGCTCTTCCTCCCTCTTATCCGCCCTTCAGTAAGGCTCTATTCTTTGCCACGCTATTCTTCTTTTCCTGCCTACGGTCCCAGGCACCCGGGGGGGAAGACTTAGGGCTGCGTGCAAGGAGGCAAACAAGCCCCTGAAACCTTCCCTCACACTCTCTGGCCTAGGAGGAAGGACGTGTTCCTGTGCACTTGGGCTGGTCGCCTCGAAGCCGAGCCTTTGAAACTCGGGCTCCTGAAAGGAAAAACTCATTTATTCTGTCCCGCCCCGCCCCGCCCCATTCACGAGAGACACTGAAGGAATACAAAATGTGGGCTCCAAGAAAAAGAGATTGGGTCCAGTTGTGGAGTCTTGGGAAGTCATGGTTTCAGCTTCAGTATAATTACCTTCTCAAAGGGATATGAGAAGGATGGAATAGAGAGCACTTCTGCACTCACGCAAAATGTTGTGGGAAGTATTAATGTGAGCAAGGAGTAGCTTTGTATCTTAATGTTGTTGTTACAGATTCAGATCGCTTGTCTGTTCTCCACAAGCTGACAGTAAAAATAAATCCATGTGTAATTAAGATTTACTAGTGCTCCAGCACTACAGAAGATTGTGAGCTTTTACTGTAGTCATTTGGAAGAAATACCACCTTCTTATCAGACACTTTGGCCTTTCAGATAAAACCATGGAAAGTAGTCCATAAAAATATTTAGTAGCCTCCCTGCCCATATTTTTTTTGGTTAGTGGAACACAGTTCTTACTTACCATCCAGAGGTGATCAGGCAAGGGGTTGTTTGCAGAACTGTCAGGATACTCTATCTATATGTATGGACTGGTAATTTCCATTTCATTGTATCTGAAGAAGTGTGTGTGAACATGAAAGCTTATACCTTGACTAAAACTATGTTGGTCTTAAAAGTGCCACTGGACTCAG